ACCAAATTCATGGACCCTTAAACTTGTTTTGCGTGGTACCTGCAGGTCGATGCTGCTATTGTTCGAATAATGAAAACCCGAAAAGTGCTAAGTCACACTCTTCTGATAACTGAACTCTTCCAACAGGTAAAAGGCATTTTTTTTCTTTAATTTCCATGCATTCATCTTCTCGTGTTGAATCGGTATAATAGTATACTGTTCTTATCTTTTCGTTTCCCATGCATTCTTTTACTCCACAGTTAAATTTGTAATAATATTACCTATTATATTTACCCTAATACGAAAGCAGGCTTTTCTGCCTGCAAATGAAAGTAAAATTTGAATGGAGCATGCAAGAAAGTGACTAGTTGTAATATATTTGACTGTTGACGATGTTGAAGTGGATTATTGTGGTGTGTTGATGAACAGTTAAAGTTTCCAATAAAGCCAGCTGATTTGAAGAAGCGGATTGAAAGTCTTATCGATAGAGAGTACCTAGAACGTGACAAGAACAACCCTCAGATATACAATTACCTTGCCTAAAACAGTCTTTTCTCCTCGCTAACAACACAAAAATTTCGGCCGTTGGAAGCTGGGGAGGAGGGATCGATCCCTTTGTCAGATTAATGTACAGAAAGAATTTTAGTTTCGATATTTTTGGCTGCGCTGGACGTTGATTGTAAAGCATAATTTTGTATCTCTTTCAGTGTCTGTGGTCTCTGGTAAAAGTTCTGTACCTGATGAAATCATCTTCTCAAGCTTACAACAAAAAAAAGTTATATTAAAGCAAAGATCCCAATTTTAGTTTCATCAATATTCTTTGGGAAGAAGAGTCTATGCCTTGATTTGAGGACGAGAGTTCCAATTTTGTGTTTAGTAAGGGTGCAACCAAACTGTCCAAGCCACTCGAAGCTTTCGGGGTTCGGTTCAGGCAGTAGTTACCTATGGTTTGATTGCTGGAAAACTAAGGTGAATTGGTTGGGGTCGGTTTCATACAAACCTAAATGTCATTGTTTCCTCTTTGTATGTTGCATCTCATCGTCTTCATTTGGGAGTTCAGAGAGTTTAATCTTCTCGTTTTAACGTTAGGTAACATTATTTTGATATTACTCTTTCGTCTCCTCAATATATCAAATCAGGCATATATTTCAAATATATTATATTGGCATATAAGTTATATGTTTTTTTTTAGCGTACGTTAATTCAAATCATACATATGATACTTTTTCGAGTGTTCATAAACTGAAAACATTCTTTCGATCTATCTGTAATAACAAATTTAAATTATTGTTTTGAGAGTCCTCCCTTCCAACTTTTTAATGTCTTATTTTTCTTATTGCTCAACTTTTTTGTGTGTGCACTTTCAAGATTGCCTATAATTACAGACACAAACAAAGCTAGACAAAACTTTTGGACGTAATATAATTCTAAATTAAAGCCTGGTGGCCCTTTTTATGAGACTTTAATTCAGCTGATTTAGTTTCAAGTCTCATTTGTGTGTTAAATCTTTGAATAAACTCTTCCACCCTTCTGTTCAGTTCTTCATCTGTCATCTTTGAATACTCATTTTCTTCTAATTCCTTCCCTTCATACTTACCACTTTCTGATCTCTTCGCCATCTTTTTCTTGCTCTCCTTTGACACAGTTCTTTTGGGTTTCTCTGACTTGCTCCGCTGGTAAGTTCTCACCGGAGTCGTCTTCAACGGCGGCAGAGAATCGCATCGATCTTGAACAATATTTTGCAAATTCCCATCTGGGTATTCTCTCTTTTCCTCAAATACTACAAATGAAGAAGTTTGATGTTGAAAATGAGTTATCTTTGGGTTGGGAGGTGAGTAATGTTCATAAAAATGGGATCTTTTGTATTGGGAGAGAGAGAAATAGGCATAATCAGCAGCAATGATGAAGATGAGGGTATTGGAAATGAAGAACCAGAAAATTGTGCTGTTGAAGAGAGATGAAAAAGAGAGGTTTTTGAAGATGATGCAAAAGGAGAGAAGGAATAATAGGGAGGAGAAGAATGCTAGTATGCAATCATTTGTATATTTATTGTAAGTGTTTGGTTTGGGTTTGGGTTTGTAGGGCATAAATGGATTATCAAGTGATACAAGATTTGAATGAGATGACATTTGGGCTGAACAAAAAGAAGAAAAACAATGGAGTTTTTGAGTTGAGAGATTGAATGGTTGGGGTTTGAGAGAGAGATTTCAAGAGGGTTTTTCCTTTTATAGCCACTTGGATGTGAGTTCAAAGGATTATGCATGATTACTTCTTGTCTAGGCTTGTTGTGAGATATGTGGCTAATTATTGAATTAACCTCAAATTACTATTTTACCCTTTCTTTTTTTTCTTCTTTTTATATATTTTATTCCCGTACATATCTAGTTGTTCGTAGTTTTTAAATTATTCGAGGAAGTTAGATATGTGACACCCAAACAAAAGATGATGCATGAATAAACTAAAAACTACATCTGAGTGAAAACGATCTTGAGGATGGAATGACTAAAAAATGTTCTAAGTTAAAACCTACCAAATATGTACTTTCTTTTTTGGTAGCTCAATCATAAAAACTCCGAAGATCAACATATTTTGGTTAGAGTAATCCAATGTTGGAATTTTCTTACCACGCATGTGAGTGAAATCAAAACATATTAAAACTAGAGTTGATCTATGATAGAAGTGAGATGTAAATGTGTCAATATTACAGGAGAATGCTGAAGTGGTGTCAAATTTTATATAATAATAATAAAATATATATATATATATTGAAAAAAATAATTTTATACATAAACGAGCATTATAATGAAGCGTTATTATTAAATCTTTTAAAAATGAATTTTATAGAAGGGTAAGAGATGTCAACTTGTAATATTTTATTATTTACTCTCACTAATGTTTATCAATATTAATATATATAAAGGATAAGTAATTTTATTTTTTATGGAAACTCAAGAAATAATGCCAACTCATCACAAAATGTCAAGTAAATAGGAATAGTCTTAAATTATTTTGCTTTTGGTTGTATATTAATTTATTTATTATATTTTAAAATATATTGAATTTCTAATTTTAAGATCATATTTAACGCAACCACAAGTAATTAATGGAAAGTGCGAAAAAACATTAAAAAAAAAAGTATATTTAAATATGGTCATTTTTGAGTTTATCATATAAAAAAAATTATTTAATTTTTTTTTTAAATATGGTCATTTTTCAAAGAATAGTATCTTTCATATATTTTTTTCCTCTTTATGAAATTTGGTTTCTTATTATTCATACCATGGGTAAGAAAAAAATAAAATAAACAATTTTATTTTTTATTTATTTATTATTTATTTTTGTAAAAAACATTAAAAAAAAAAAAGAAAAGAAATTTAAACCGTAGCAAACAAGTCAAAATTTCCAAATAATAGTTTTAATTGATAATGTATAATGTGGCTGGTGTTCTCTCTCTCTCTCTACCAGCTCAAGTTTTTAGGATTATTTCAAATATATTATTACTTTTCCACGTGGACGATTCAGGTTAAATGGAGCATCATGATTGGCTAATCAGTCAATTTGATGTCTGCCACGTGTTGAACATTGTGGATAAACACAACATTTGTTTTCTAAGGTAATTTTGTGTTTGAGGAATATTTAATGTTTAATTCATCTCAATTTTTTAAAATTTCAATAATTTATTATTATTATTTTTAAAATTTTGATGTATAACTTAAGAGTTAGAATATCAAATTCTAAACCGACGTGGCATTACTAGATCCCTTAAACTCTCCGAGCAAAAAAAAAAAAAAAGTTATTTATCCTTTGTCTAATAAGCTCTGGAAGGACCGAACAAGGGAGAAATATTTGTTGGACTTCAGTTTCCTAAGAGGAAATCAAACTGTGTTTCTTTAGTGACAGTAGAAAATGATCGAAATATTTGCATGCTAGAGATCTCAACTCGTTGCATTTAGTTAATCGAGTCTCACAGCTTCCACCTAAACAACTTCATTCTAGTCGAAGTTCCCACTTTAGTATGCATCAATAAGACCACCAACCTATTTGCTAAGTTCATTCATAAATATGAATATATATTTATTTTATTTTATTTTATACGAATATCTCAACTTAAATTTTAAATATTATATTAAACTAGGTGAAACATTGAAATTTGAAACCGTAAAGATGGCAACTTCTGATTGGTTGATTGAAATACAAGGTTAATTTAATCATAGGTTGACTAATGCCAAGGTAGGATTTTTGAAGTTAAGTGGAACACTCCAAAACATATTTTCATCTACATTTTTGTATGTTTATTTTACATCAAATGTTAACTTATATGCTCAAATATTTTGGCCAATCGATAAAAGTTAGTTGGTTTAGTTGGATTAAATTTTAAAAAAAATTAAAAGTTCGATGGGCTGGTTAACATTTTTTTGGTCGGATAATTTGACCAACTTGAAAGTAGGGTTACAACTCAACCCTACCTTCTAAAAAATGAAGAATATTTAATGTTTGTAACTAATGGTAATGATATGATTGTGACTTGTAAATGTTTGATATTTGAAATATAAATAGTATGTAACATGATAGTATGTTTTTTTTAGATAACTAAAAGAAATAGTAACAAACCCGACAACCCAATTTAACCCAATTCAAAAGTAGAAGGTTGGATTATGAACAATATTAGGGTTACTCGAATCATTGATTCAACCAACTCAAAATTTTAGATTGATCTAAAAGATTTTTCCAATTAACCTAGCTCAACTCGTGTACCCCTTAAAACCTCCAACCTCAAACGTGAGAGTATACATCAATTGTTATTAACTGCTCATGTCCTATTACACATAGTCGTCAACCTCACGTTTTTAAAACTTGTCTGCATCTGTTAGGGAGAGGTTTACACCCTCTTTTATAAATAATGTTTAGTTCTACTCTCCAATCGAGTGAGATGTCGTCGTTTTGTTTTAGATTTAATTTCTTACTCGTCTCTTACATTGGATGATATCTTTAACTATTGTTCTCTATAGGTGTGTGCTTTTTGTTCTGTATAGGAAGAGGAGGAAGAGAAGGAGGAGGCCTGCTGTGTGCTGCTGTTGCTGCTGCCTAAGCATCATTGTTCTGTCTGCTTCACACAGGTACTGAAACGAAGCCCAAGTCCCATCATTTTACACACTTCTCCATTAACCCAACAACTAATATCTATAAATGAACCTCCTTTTGCACTTATATTTCCACTATTAGCAACTCTTTTCTCTTCCCTCCCTTTCACTTCCACTTCCACTTCCCTACACTACTGACACAGCCACCTCTTCCTTTCCCCACAAATACCCTCTAAACCCATCTCCCCTGTTCTCCCCTCCCATGGCTTCCCTCACTCTTCTCCTCCTTGCATTTCTCCTTTCCACCAACACCTTTGCGGCTGAGGAAATGGAAGAGGAGGAGCTTCTGGCTCTGTTTGAAGTCATGGGTTCTCTCTTAGACTACCCTGACTGGCCTCAGGCTCACCCTTTTCCATGCACAGACACGCCATGGCCTGGGGTTAAGTGCGAGATTTGTCAAGCCCCTCCTGTCTTTCATGTCACCCAGATTCACATTGGCCCTGATATTCTAGACCCACCTTGCAAAATCTCTGCTAATTTATCCCACGCCTTGCTCAACCTCCCTTATTTGAAGTCCCTTTCAATCTTCAGCTGTTTTACAGCTTCCCCAGCTGCTCTGTTTCCTGCTCTGTTTCAGTCATTGTCTTATTTGGAGCATTTGGCTCTTCAATCCAACCCAGCTCTTTCTGGGGTGATTCCATCGAGTTTGGGCAATGCAGCCAGTTTGAGAGTTCTGAGCCTCTCTCAGAACAGTCTCAATGGGGAGATTCCACAAGCCATTGGTGGATTGGTTCATTTACAACAGCTTGATCTTAGCTACAACAATCTTAGTGGCGAAGTTCCTCAAACCATTGGTGGGTTGAAAAGCTTGAGCATCTTGGATCTCAGCTGGAATGCACTTAAGGGTCAGCTGCCTTCTTCTTTAGGAAACTTGCAGCTCCTCCAAAAGCTTGATTTGGGATCAAATAAGCTTCAGGGAAAGATATCTCAAAAGTTAGGCATGTTGAAGAAGTTGGTATTGCTTGATTTGAGCCACAACTTCATAAATGGGCCAATCCCTGAATCATTTGGTGGGTTTGAGCACTTGGAGTACTTGATATTAGACCACAATCCCTTGAACGCTGCGGTTCCATTGTTCTTAGGCAGCCTTGAGAAGCTCACATCAGTAAGCCTATCAGAATGTGGAATTGAAGGTCCAATACCCACTTCACTCACTTCATTGAAAACCCTCACAGCTCTGTCTTTAGCCAACAACAATCTAAGTGGGCCAATTCCACCAGAATTGGGGGAGCTCCCAAACTTGGATCTGTTGAACTTAAGCCACAATCAACTAAGTGGAGAGCTTTCTTTCCCAAATGAGTTCATGAACAAACTAGGAAAAAGATTGGATTTAAGAGGAAATTATGGGCTATGCTCAAGCCAAAGGAGGAATTTCTCAGTGCATTCTGATGAACCACCATATTGTTTGAATGGAGCAAGAAATGAGAGTGAAAAACAAGAAAGAACAGAGGATTATAAGAGCATACAGCCAGCTTGGAACCAATGGGAAGACAACAGCTGCTCTTCAACTAATCTAAGTTGGGACAAAGATCTTATGCTTGTTTTTTGTGCTTTTGTTGTTGCAGTTGTGTTGTGTTCTGTTTTGTTGGAGTAAAACTGAGGACTACTTTTCACTTGCTTACTATTTTTTCGTTATTATTATTAATGTGTCTGATGGGTCGCTTGAAAAGGTGTTGGTTGGTTGGTGTGTCTGAAACTGAGCTCATTTATTCCATCAGTCATTTCCATATGGTAAAAGTAAGACAAAGATGTGCAGAGTGCAGAGTGCAGAGTTGGCTTGATATGACACCAAGTTGAACTAATCTCCATGCAAACGCCTTTTTTCTTTGGTTTTTGAGGAGCATCTAATAGGAGAAAGGATGCTACTGGCTACCAAGCCAAGTCTTTTCTGTTATGCAGCTGCTTGTTCATTGTCAGAGAAGAGAGACTGAAGCCTGAGAAGTGAGAACTACTGATATGTTATGATATTATATGCATTACGGTATTATAAGCCAAAATTTTTATAACGCGTCGGCCAGATGTTTCCACACTCTAATAAACAATGTTTCGTTCCCCTCTTCAACCGATGTTGGATCTCACAATCCACCTATTTCGAAGTCTAGTGTCTTCGCTGGCACTCGTTCCCCTCTCCAATCGATATGGGATCTCACAATTCTTCCCTTTCGAGGCCCAGTCTCTTCATTGACACGTTTCTCTCTCCAATCGATGTCACCCGGTGTCCACCCCTTTCAGGACTAAATGTCCTTGCTGGCTATGATACTATTCATAGTAATCTAAACTCACTGCTATTAGATATTGTCCTAGTAAGACTGAAGTTTTTACGTACTTATATATAATGTTTAATCTCGTAAAAGTTTTGTGTTTTGATTGGATGGTTAGTGTTTTGATTTGATGGTTAATAAAATAGTGTTATATGAAAGGTCTAAAATCACATCAGCTTTCACTTAGCTTTTTCTTGCATAGGGAAAGGTGTATAGGTTCTATTATTACACAGAAGGAGATGCTATATGTATGGTGAGATAAGGGGAAAATGTGGAATCTTGTCTCCTGCCCTTCTTGGCGCTCACTAGCTGTGGTGCAGCTATATCTTTCTTGGCTCGAGTTGAGAGTTCGCGACCAAACTAGCTAGCCTTGTTTCTCAAACGTGATAGACGATGAAGAGTGGAGCATGGAGTATCATATTTAGAGTATTCTTTTTAACGTGTATAGTATCACAATCATACTTCTTTCAACTAATAATTCTTTCTATTGGTATTTCCAATTTTTCGTGATCCAAAACTTTTAGCAAGCACTTTCACTTCTACTAACGCCTCCATACTAGAAAAGCTTCTCTCTCTTACACTGTGGAAGTGTTCAGATGACTTGAAAAATTGATCAATTCGGACTACCTGACTCAAACAATAAAGTTTGGGTTGTGTTAGATTTTGTTTCGATTTGAGTTAGGATTAAATTTTTGAAAAATAAAAAATTTGAGTCGGTATGCGAGTTAGACATTTTTTGGAAGGGCCAATTTGACCAACCGAACAATAGGGTTACAACCCAACTTAACCTTACCTTATTTTTTAAGATTATTACCAAGATTAAGAATATTTTGCTTTTCTAACTAATATTAGTAATGCGTGGACTTATGAGCGAGTGATATTTGAGTTTTATGATATTTTATTTATTGATGCAACATATATGGTGGATAACTAAGATTTTTTTTTTTAAATAATTAAAAAAAACAACTTGACGATCGAACGAATCATACACGAAAATATACAGTTGTGTTAGGTTGTGAACTCTATTCAAGTTGCTCTTCACCAACGAGAGAGTTCACCAACCCCACCAAACTACAACATTGTTGAATTTGATAATAAAACTATCCGACTTCTTCACCTAAGGTGTAATCTTGATGGGAATTCTCGCGACCCCACTACATACAATATGCGTAAAGACAAACTCTCTCAATTGTCGTTAATTACCATTGAGAGAGATGGAACCCTTTCTCGACCACGTTCTTCACGTCAGGAAAGAAAATGTAGCAGTATTAGAAGAGACGTGTTCACCTATCGATGATGTTTACTGTCGAGAGAAATTGTCTCTCTCAACACATTTTTCTTTAGTGGATCGCAACCTATTTTTTTCTAACATGACTGCGCTCGTCCTAAGAATAATTCTTTTAGTTATATAGTTTAAATCGAAGAACATCAATGTCATAATTAATGAAGTAGTTTGAAGAAAGAGAAACCTAAGTAATAATGTATTAAGAAAATTATATTTACAAAGGGAAGAGAAGAAGCATGAATAAACATGGAAAAGCTAGTGAGAGTAGGGCGAAAGTGTTTGAATGCGATGCTTTCTCTTCTGAAGAAATCTCTGCAACGATCTTCTCATGGAGGGGCTAGCCCCACTCTTCATCGACATTGGTTCTGTCGGTAAACTGATATAACATGTCGTTAATCTTCTCTCGGCCTCCATTTGTGTTATTGCTCGTACGATTATTGCCCTTGCCTGCAATACCCAACCACGTAAAATCCATTAGCTTAAGCTATTGAATTCATCGTATCATATTAAGATTGATATCCACTTCATCGAGAGAAACATACCTGGAGCTCTGTAAGATCAAGTAATGGGACTCGAGTAGGATGGTTGTGGCAAGATGTTGACGTTGAATTGGCGGCGGCGACGGTGGCAGTGGTGGAAGGGGAGGAGGAAGGGGGGGAGAGACAGAGTTCCAAGTTGCAGTTGAGGATGTTTTCCATTGGAGAGGAAGAAAATGCGAATTAAGGTTTGAAAGATGAGAAGAAAGGGAAGAAATGCGTATATATATAAGTTTGTAAAGTAAGCGTGTTTGGGTGGCAAATGGGAGGATATCTACTGGCAACTGGCAACTGGCAAAGTCGGGATCATATAATAAATAAATAAATAAATCACGAGGAACACGGGCGTGGGGCCCATCACGCGCCACCGTCGGCAAACTCTCCTTAATTTAAAGGTGCCTGAATTAATTTCAAAAAGTATTACTTTAAAATTAGTTTCATAATTATTTTATTTATTTTTAAAAATTGAATCTATAAATGCTTCTTATACTCCTTTTTAACTTCTTTATTTTATTATTTATATTTTCCCAATAAAGTTTTAAAAATTAAAAATAATAATTTTTATTTTTTTATTAGTTGACATTTTACTTCAAATAATTAGGGATAATTTTTTTTCAATTCTTAAATTTAACAAATATTTAATATAAATGTCCAACTTTTTAATTTATATCTAATAGATTAATCAATTTTTAAAATTTATAAATTTAAATATGATTGAATCCATTAACAAAAAAAATTAATTAATTAATGTATAATATATTTATTAATTTCTTTTTAAAAAATGTGAATGTCATGAGCTTATTAAATAAAACTAGAAATTTGATAAACTTATTTGGAACATTAATAAATAAAGTATTTAATCTTATTAATTTAATGGAAATGGATATTATGTGGTGGTTAATGGTCGTGATTGATGTGTATATTTGTGGTATATAATGACAAATAAGAATGAGCCACGTAATAAACACGCATCCACCACATCATTTCCATTGATTTTACATTTTGTTTTTTTTTTTTTTATACATATAAGTTAAAAGCAAATATTAATTAATTAATTAATTTTTTTTTTTTGGGAGAGAGACACAAAAACATTTAAAGAGAAATATAAAATGGGGGAGAAAAAGAAAAACGAAATAGGAAAATAATAAAATTCCACGTGGAGCAAAACGACCAAAAGGATAGGGTGAGTGGACAAACTTAGGTTTCATATTACTATTGATTTGGTGGACAAAAAAATAAAATTAAAAATAAATTAAAATTAAGGCAGGGCCCTTTATGGGTCGTGTCCATGTGATCAATGCCTCATAATTTGATATCCCACCAAAATTAGGGCTGCCCCATTTATTTATTATTATTATTTATTTTTATGTCAATCATTCCATTAAAATTAAAATTTACTTTTATTAGGTGAGATCTTACCTTCTGTAGACAGGTGAGTGAATCATTTCTTATAAGTGTGTGGAGACTTCTTCCTATCATACGCGTTTTAAAATCGTAAGACTGACGATGATATGTAATGGATCAAAATAGACAACATTTGCTAGTTGTGGGCTTGAACTATTACAAATGGTATCAAAGCTAGATACTGGGTAGTGTGCTAGTGAGAACGTTGAACCCCCAAAGGAAAATTATGAGATTTCACATCGGTTGGAGAATGAAACAAAACATTTCTTGTAAGAGTATGAAACTCGAGGACGTTGGACCCCCAAGGAAAAATTATGAGATCCTACATTAGTTAGAGAAATGAACAAAACGTTTCTTATAAGGGTATGAAAACTCTCCCTAGTAGATACATTTGAAAACCATGAGATTGACGACGTTGGACTTTAGCTGTTACATTGCAATCGTTCTTAAGCCTAGTTTGAAGCTCCCTGACTAGTAACTTCTAATATGACAGACACTAAATAGATGACATTGTATTCTTCAATGTTGGGTGACACTCACTAGCCAATGTAAGTTCATGATCAGGAAATTGCACCGTAATCATCCCTATGTAGCACTAGCCAATCCATATAACTCTAACGACCCTATATGTGGCTCATGCACCAAAGTATAATAAGATTTAAGGCTAGGGTCACTAACATGCATTTAAAACCTTTAGATAATATGACAAATTAACCAACAATCATACGTGACATTACTTAAAGGTTTAATCGCCTAACGTGCTTTTTATGAATCAAATTTTGGCATATCTTCTTGTCTCTCAAAGTTGTGCACAATCTTCTTTTGAATCTTAGGACACCCATTTTAGAACCTGACATTTATAACTCAAATTTTGGAATCGAACATTTTTAACTTATTGAAGAGCACATTCCAGAGCTTTTCAGCCTTCATATTCTTTAGCATCGTTATTTCTCTTCTCACCTCGAAGCTGTAGAAATTGTTTTTAACGAATAACATTTGTATCTTTGAGTGAGGGGGTCGTGTTCTCACCCAAATCTAACCTCCTCGAACAAGAATCAGCCCTTAAACGAACTTACCCACAATTCTTCTCCTTTTTGTTTCTTTTTATTCCACTCCCTATTATCCATTTTATATAAAACTTTACATTCTTCTT